CCTTTGTTCTACCTTTGTGTTTGTCTCTTACATCTTTGAAACGCTCTTCTGTTCCCCCCTCTCGACTTTTTTCAACTTGATGTTCCTTCCCCTCTGTGAAGCCTGAAGTCAACTAAAGGGCTAATGATAACCATCAAGACGCCTGCCATTTAATATAAATAAATAAATGATGATGAGAGCAGCCTGTGAGATACCTCCTAGTGCAATTGCATTACCCTGCCAAATAAATTGAGGTCTCGAAGATTATACTTGCGATTTCAATTGAAAAATCACTCAAAACACAGAGATGATGACTTCTTACGGAGGCTAGGAAGCCATCTCAACTTTCCAGTCTTTCGCCTCACAAAGTGCGTATATTTCGTTATGGCATAAAAAATCGAATCTGAAATCCTGCCTGATGAAGTTTTGCCGTCTACTTCAGCCAATCCAGAATCTTTATTTAAAGAGCACTTTTAAAGGCAAGGCGTATTACTCATCTGATATTTTTAGTAACTTCGAAGACTACGACTGACATGAGACACATCAAATTACAACACCTATGAATTTTTTTTCATGAAATCACCGAAGGAAACTATTGCAACCGTTAAAGTGTAAATAACTTCGAATTATGCCGAATTATGCTGACGGCGAGAAGTTGAACAAACGAAACTCCAAAGTATATAATATCTGGATAGAAAAGAATTCAATTCAAATGTTCCACTGACTTGAAGCAATCGTATGCGTAATTTTTTTCCCAACATATTTAATCCTTATCTTAGCAGTTGTGCCATAGAACCACTTTGAACTTACTGGTTGGCTTTGATGATGCCTAATTATGGAGATGAGATTATGCATCCACTCGGTTTCATCAAATTTTTCATCAGATGATGTGGAGAGAAGCACGGAATCAGTTATGAGATGAGCGATAGTTGCTCTCAGATCTGCTATTTCGGCCCACAGTCGGCGACTCACATCGCGAATGCTAGAGCCACCTCGTGGACAACGCCGTTGATACATCTCCATTACTGTGCGAATCTGTTGTGCACTTTTAGCAGTTATCAGTATCACAATCGGTACTATTCCATTGAAAATAAGGGCTTCAATTGCTCCTGGTCGAAGATTCAGCACTGGATGCTTGCCTCGCTCCATCGACATCTGATTTATAAGAATAGCAAATTCTTTAATGCTGTTTTCAAATCACAAGAGAATGAAAGAAGGGCGAATGCTTAAATGTTTTCATTCTTAATATTAACAGAATAAAGAAACCTGTGGTTTGCCATCATCAATCTTTAGATTCATGAGATTCCAAACTCGTTTTATAGCAAAGCGTTCTCCAAGATCCATCTCTGGGAGACCATTCTAAGCCATCCCAAATGTGAAATTTACATAGGGTCACCTGTCTCTAAACCATGAAGTCAGCTCTTTCTGTTCACTTTATGGCCGGCCAATCCATTTACCCGATTAAAGTTAATATAGTCCCCTAAACATATATTTGTGTGTAATTTAAATTTGCTTGCAGCATACGAATTGGACGATAGTAAATATAGCACTTAAGTCGCAGTAAGTAAATGAATAAATAGGGTATTTTGAGTCTTTTAAAAGTTATCAAGTGAAATTGCATGCTTCATTTGCCTTATTCCTGCTATAAGTTCGGAAAGGAATCATGAAGTCGCATATCACTCTTCCATAAGTGAGCGTATAATCTAACAAGACCCACCACTGTTCACTGTACTTTAATCATTTCAGAGACACAAACTGACAGGCACAACTAATATAATATCAAAGCGTTTTTTTCTCAATCACAACTTAACGTACTCCAATAAGCACTTTTTCGTGAATAATGTGGACTTCAAGGTGTGAGTGTACTTTTGCCCTTCAGCGATTTTGTGTACTTTTGGTCATCCGTATTTAGAAAATAAACCACTAAGTGAGTTATTTCTCAGCCGACCTATTTATAATTATTCCTCTTAAATGCGCTATAAATGGTGGAATTTGTGATTTCAGCATGTTTCAATCCACATTTCAAAATGTGATCACTAATAGATTGTCACAATTTGTCGGGTTGCATTTGAAGGCACACAACTGCAATTAGGCTGTGCCAAGTTTATTGGAAATAAAAAAGAGTCACTTAGGACATGTTTGCATAACCTAAATCCTTGATCCCAATGAATAGGTCATATTGACTTATTTCTCATAGCACGTCATAACCAAGGTGTTTTAAATATTTCCGAACAATTAAATTCGAGAGAATATCCTCATTGACCGATATATCAATCACTGCCTTTTACTGATGAAGCCTATACAAAATTTTAAACTTACATTATGAATCCTGTGAATGCCATGGTAATTTTGATGTTTCCTTCTTAAATAATCGTTAAATATTCATTAAAGGGTCCATGACAAGGCAAAAGGACAGAAGCAAGCATATATTAACTTTTTTGCATTTATTAGAGAACGCAATTCGATGTAGTTAAAGATTGGTGTTCTGTAAGTAAGATTATATCAAAATATTCTATTCTTGAAGCCTTCCTACAATGAAGTATTTGAGATACCTTAATTTCAAGTTCCATTAAAGCCTACTGAATGGTAATTTACTTTCATTAGCAGTCATATTATGGCCAAAATGTGGAGGGCGATAGACTTGCTTCCATGTGGTGCACCCTGGGCAAAGTATAATCATACGACAAAAAAGTCAATAAACCGGCAGTTGACTATTGACTTCAAACTACCATCACCCCACTGTATGTCATGTTCGACTACTTTCACATTACTCACCTCACCTTTTATCTACCTTTGTATCTGTTTGTCTCTTTTCCATCTTTGAAACACTCTTCTGTCCGCACCCCTCTCGACTTTTATTCTCTTTGATGTTCCTTTCGCTCTATGAAGCCTGGAATCAACTAAAGAGCTAATAATAACTACCGAAACACCTGAGATTTGATTTAAATAAATAAATTATATCCAGCGTTTTACTACAAAATGCCTTCTTCTTGTAATCACAGGGCGCAAAACTGTAGAGATGCATTTAATATTAGCATTAATTT